GCCCCCCCGGCCGCCTTCCGGCGGCGGGCGGGGGGTGCGGGAGACCAGGCCTCGGCTTCCCACCTCCTGGCTTTGTGGCTTTCTTTTCCTTTCGTTCTTGGCTCCAAGTGCCTGTTTACTCGCGGCCACCGGGGTAGTTCCTTTCCGGGCTGGGAGTGCGCGTCTGCAGCAGTTGGGAAGGGGGAGGTGGGCCGGGGCGCGGGTCGTCTCGGGCTCGCCTCGGGGTCGGGCTCGGGAAGGAGTTGCTGGCTGGAGAGGGGAGGGGCGGCGGCGGAGCTGGTGGCGGGGAGGCGTCTCCGGGCTGCCGCGCTCGCCTCATCTCGTCCTCCTCCTCCTCGGCTCTCCGCATCCACTCTAGGCTCCTTCCTGCGCTGGCACTTCCATTCCCCCCTCCTCCTGGCAGGCGAAGCGCTTTGTTCAGTGCAGCGTTGCAGAGGGGTTTTCCCAGGCTCCGCCCTCCACATTCATTCATGGTTTTTCTCCTTGCAACTGTCTTTACGCTTTTTGATCGTGTCATGTTTTCGCTCCATGTAGTATTTCTTTCCCTTAGAGAAACGGTGTATCACTCGTCCTAGTGCTCCAGTGCTTGTCTTTGGAAATACCCACTTCCCCCCGCAAGGATTTAAACATGGGATGGACAGCTGGGGACAGTGGGTAGGCAGTGATTGGGATGGCTAAAGCCTTTGGGGTTCGGAATGTGCGTATTTTACATTTGTGCTCCGGTTCCTATGGGATCACATGGTTGGATTAAACTCAGAGTTCACGCTTTAAAAACTTGCAAATATCGTGACCATTTAGGAGCTTTAAGTTTAACAGGAACATAGTTTAGCATTCATATAATTTATTTGGTCTTAATGTGTCTAAATTCTCTATTGAATTATAACCTTGAATCGGATAGTGGATTTTTTTTTTTTTTTTTTTTTAGTGCAAGGAGTTGGGGTACCATATTTTTTCTAGATCATTTAGCAGAGTTCTAGGTGAAATACGTACTTGGACCATCATATTTTGTATGCTTCCACATGCAGTTAAAAAATTGCAAATAATTTTGTGTTGTGCTGACACGGTATATCAGGGACAAAATACTGAAGCTAATTGTAGCCTGCCTTCCTTCTATTTTTTCGATATAATGAAACCAGAAATCCCTCAAACCTTATACTAGGATATTAGACACATTCTTTCTCCTGTACACTTTCTTAAGGAGAATTCATATTTCAACATTTTTGTGTGACTGGCAAAGTATCTACATTGTTTAGTTCAGTTCTTATAACAACCTTATGAAGTGAATAACTTTTCCTAATTTTACAACTGGGAAACGTGATCTTCAGAGAGGTTAAGTACCCAGAACCAGGCCACACAGTAGGGGATAAAGCCTGGCTTTAAAGCCAGTCTGGTTTGACACCAAAATATGTAGTCATAACTTGCTGTGCAATACAACCCTTTAAAATAAAAAACAAAAAGAGTGGGAATTAGCCTTTCCACTAAGGAAATAAGCACTGGAAGTAACTGAGTCATGTGGTGCCACATTCCTTAGTTGCGATCTTGGACAGGTAATTTAGCCGAATTAAGCTAGGTAATGTGTAGAAAGTATGGCACATAGGTGCTCAGCACTGTAGAACATAAGCTTTCAGTGAAGTATTCCCATTCCAGTCTTGTGTTTTTGCTTAGTGATTAAACATGATTTTGTGTGTAATAGCAACATAATGGGCTTTGCTTTTCAGCTTTCTTGCAGGAATTTAAAACTAAAATTTTAGCTCTAGAATTCTTGAGAATCTTGTGGAAGAGGGAGTCTGAGGTGGCTGATTGGGGAGATAGGTGATTGGGTTGTAGATCACTATACTTCAGATCACTGTGTTTTAAAATGTATGAGTCAGACTAGGTTATGCTGCAGTAACAAATAACTCCCAAAGCCTCACTGACTTAAAAGAACAAAAGTCTGTTTCTTTTTTTAAGCTGCATGAGTGTGTTGGGTTAGCAGGAGCTCAGCTCTGTGTTGCTGTCTTATTCACTGCCTGAACAGTGCTGGTCCCATGGCAGAGGGAAAAGAGCTCTGGAAGACCTTGCTTTGATAACTAAATGCTAAATCCTTCAGCCTGGAAGCAAAACGTGGCTCATTCACTCAAAAGTCATTGCCTAGAACAGGTCATATATCCCAGCTAAACACAGCGAGACAGAAAGTGGGGTCCTACCATGAGCCTAGAAGGGAGGTCTGGAATAACTGGGGAGCAGCCTTAATAGCACCCACATATATTAATTGAGTTCACCCTAAAGCAAGATGAACAGGACACAGTCACTACTCTTATGAATGGGTGTGTGTATTATATCCAACATAGCCTTTTCGTAGCCTGATGCTGTATTTTAATTGTACCTGGTAATGCTATTTTAAAACACAAAGTGAATTTTTTCACCATTTTCTGCTAAAAATGATTTTCTGTTTGCTTAAAGAGAAGGCCCAGATATTACCAAAATGATCTGTAATTAAAAGTTAGTAATCTTTTGCAGCATTGCCAAGTTTGGTTACCTTTTCTTGGGTTTAGGTTAGTGCAGTGCTAAGCAATAACTTTTAAAGTATATTTTTCCTTAAAAGGTAATAAAATGTGATTCTGTTTTTTTTCTTTTTCAGTACATGGATTAATTGATGGATGTTGAGTTTATGGAGCAACCTTTTTGTGACCTGCTCTTCCTACAGTTTCTAAGACGAAAAAGGAGCCCCTGAATCAAAGAAGATGCCTCGAACTAAACAGATTCATCCCAGAAATCTAAGAGGTAAGGCTCCGTGTTAAGTAGAAGTAAGGCTTACAATAAATCTTTTAATAAAATATCTCTTTGGTGACGGGAATGGCAGTTTGTTAGACGCTGGCCCTGCTCCATAGTGAACTCTGTTTCCCCTGTTCATTTCCAGTTGCACTGCACAATTCCTGTCTCTCAGGAGATACTTAAATATCTGTTGAATGAATTAATTGAATTGACAAAATTACAGTGCCTTCCCAACCACTGGATGTGGGTATTAAAGGCTGAGATTTGCTATTTTTTTTAAACAGAATGATATTTGGATCAAGGAATCTGAAATGAATGGTTGAATATTCTTTGCCAACTGGATCCTTAAGAATTTTTTGAGTTTTTTAATCCCTCCTCCATACTTCTTTTGAGATTTGTTTCTGTATTTCTCTGTAAATTAGATTAACAGGATAAGTGAAGAGAGTTGTAGTTGTCATTTACTCAGTTATTTGCAGAAGTCAGAGGCAAATTGATGTATTTTCCATAAGGAATCAGTGGGTCAAAAATATGTATATAATACACGCTTTCACACAAAGACTAAAAAATGAGTGTTTTCCTTTTAACCGTGAACTGATATTTTAATATTAGAAACGTAAGCTTATTATAGCTGATAGTTTTAAAAGATCTGTATTGTTCTGATGTGTTTGATCAACTAAGGATAACAATTATCTTTTATATTAAACTTCAGTAGATAAGCATGTAGCAAAGAGCTGTCAAAGCAAAGAATTCTCAGCAGAGTAAAATATTTTATGAAATATTTACCATTACAGAAGAAAGTTGTCAAGTATGTGCAAGATAAGAAATGACTTAAAAATCATACAGATTAATTGAAAATGTTCCTTGGTGAATTAAACTTGGCTAATTACCATAAGGTGATATTTGAAAATGCAGTCAATTTTGTGACCTCCATGAATCTGGAAATAATGTTTGTTTCCTGCCTGAAAAAGTACTATAACTCTCTGTTGCCATAGGAGGATACCTTAGCCCGAATCCTGGTTGATGATTATAGTACCAGTGCTTAATGAGGTGGGGATTTAGATGAGAACATTAAGTGGAGTGTGAGTTGAAGTCTGAATTTTCAGTCATATAGAAAATGTTGAAAATTGAATGTGTATTTTTCTGTCTCGCTACAATGGGAACTCCTTAGAGACATTCTCGCATTTATTACTGTAAGAGAAGGCTTCCACACCTGAGGGCCGCCAGCTGGAGTAGGCATTTGGAGCTATGGGCTTGGCTTTTACAATCTTTCTGTCCAGGGAGGGTACCCCGTTCTAATTTGTATGAAGTCAGCATATAGACTAGCAGTGGTCCCAGCCCAGCACAGTTCTTGGCAGCTAATGGGAGCCCAGATATTTGTTGAAGAAATGATTGATCTAAAGGTATTATTCATTAGGTCATAGATATTGTACATTTTTTCATGTTTAAAGTATACTCTATAATATTTAGATAAAACGACTATTCTGAGAAATGTAGATTTTCAGAACTTAGGCTCTTTTCCTTTTAGTATCAAGTAAATGTTCAACTTAGGGGCTATTCATCAACTGCCTTCATGTGCCATAGGTGGTAGGGGAAAAAAAATGATAATAAAACACAAACTTTGAAAGGAATGTGGAGTTGGATAGGGAGACAGGTAAGCATATAGCTGTGTTGTTATGGTGAGAAAAGAGCAGAGTTATGGAGATTCCACAGATGTAGGGGGTCACATTTTTGTCCCTCTTGTGGGAGGCAGTTTGTAGCAGAATGATGATATAAGGAAGGAAAGATAACACCTGGTCGGGGTTCTTAAGGCTAGGAAATTATCAAAGAAGCTGACGAGACATGGTGATACATTTCATCCTGGGGTAAGAGCTTGTGAAGTAACTTGGGGACTCCAAGGTACCCTAAGTTAGTCCCCATTATCACAGCATGAGAAGTTTTTTTCAGGGGAGGAAAGATAGTGAGGCAGGAGATTGGAGTGGGGTAATTAGAAGGAATCAGATCATGAAGATCAATCAGATTTGAGCCGACAGTTAATATGTAGAGTTAAAAGTGTTAGGAATCCAGGCTCGGTGGCTCAGCCTGTGTAATCCCGCGCTTTTGGGAGGCTGAGGTGAGTGGATCGCCTGAGCCCGCGGGTTCAAGACCCGCCTGGGCAGCGAGACCTCATCTCTACAATAAGTCAAAAAATCAGCTGGGCGTGGTAGTGCATGCCTGTAATTCCGGCTATTTGGAAGGGTGAGGCGGAAGGATCGCTGGAGCCCAGCAGTTCGAGGCTGCGGTGGCCAGGAGCGGCCACTGTACTCCAGTCTGGGCGACAGAGTGAAACTCCAACTCAAAAAAAAAAAAAAAGTGTTAGCAGAAAAATTGCCTCTTTTCTGAAATTATGACGTTTGTACAGTCTTAGAGATTGAAGTAGATTGGCACAAGACAGAAACTTTGTCAGTAGTACTAACAGACTTGTGAGGCTTAGTGGCAGAGAGACTGCTGATGGGGATTAGAGGAGGACTTCGTGGAAGTGGAGGCATCTGTGCTACATTAGCTCACTTGCCAGGAACAAGTAAGAGTGAAGCTTCTATTTCCAGCTGGAACCTGAATAAGCAAAGGCACAAAGGAGCTGGTGCTAAGGTGTAATACCTTAACACCTTAATGTTTCTGCTTCCCTTCTTAGAATGCATATGAGGGCTCTATCCCTGGGAAGAGTTTGGGGATCAAAAGTGAGCAGGTAGACTTTAGCTACTGAAATTAATTTTTTAGCGTAACTTTTCTATCTTCCTGTGATAACTTGGACTATCATATTTGTTTTACTTTACCTGTGATCCACTGCTTTGGCTTACAGAAGACATCTCTAACACAATTGGATATAAAGTACAGTGAGAGGAAGTTGTAAAACCAGAAAAGGAGTGATACCCAGCTTGCCCAAACTGCTTCTGCTGTCAGATTAGGGGTTTTCACAAAACCCATTGCCTCTTTTTAGGCTTCTTTGGAAAACAGTCTGTGCCGTATTTGTCTTATGCTTGGTAATAAAGTCACTATTAAAAGAGTTACAACTTCACAATTCTCAAATTCTGTGCTTATTATACTTTCATGGCAGTTTCAGCTCCTAAAATATAATTTTTCTTTGATTTATTCTTGGTTCTTCTGCTGGGATAGGTACATCCTTATGAATGTGCAAACCCACAGGATAATGTGTGTCTTTCCAGAATGTGCATTTTACTTGGGGAAAAATATATGTTCTCGTGTGTGCACATATCCACATATTAAAGTATTAGAATGGTATAAAAATGTACAATACCAGGATCTATCATGGAGGAGTATACAAGATTTGCATGGATTTTAAAATTAGGCCATGCTCCCATAAGGAGATGGAGTTTATACTTTTTCTCTTAGAGGTTTTTTAGTAAAAAAGTATGAGAATAATTCTTATGTTCAGTGCAGGAAATAAATTTGGGGCATAAATGAGACAGATTTAGAATTGGTAGGTAATCTGTATGCTTTGTAGGACTGGTTTTGTTGAATTGGTCCCTTCACCCTTGGCTGTATAAACCAAATAGAACCTTTGTCTTTGGTGGCTGTTTTCATTTGCACAATACAGGTGGATAGATTTTTCAACACTGACTAATCTTTTGTGAGGTTGAAGAAAAATTTTAGAAGAGCATAAGAGAACCACTTGGTGTTCATAGGAAAGGCTTAGTGTGTCATTCTAGGTTCCCCAGAGAAGGATCTCTGGACCATGGTGTGGCAAACTCCAAGGCCCAAGCTCCTCCATGTGGTCTTAGTGACTTGACAGCATAGTGATGCCATCTTGTCCAGCAATTGTTTCTTACACATAGCTCCTCTGTGAAGGAGATTGTCCCTCCCAGTTCTTCTTTGTTTGGACTCTTGGGTAATTTGGAATGAAGGACCAGTGACTTGTAGGGAATTTCATGCCAGTTTTTTTTTTCTTATGGTAAAAGGCTGTTATTTGTTCTTTGCCTGTCATTCCTGTGACTATAAGTAGGGAAGAGAGGTATTCCCTACTTTAGTTTTATTTGGACCTAGGATTTCAAAGCCTTATCTACTTTAAGATTGGAAGTCATTGTGGAAATGCTAAGAATTACCTTTTGCAAAACATATTTTGATAATTTGGTGTAGCTGTTTTTCATTTTTATTGGTTGAGTGCATTTGGTTCTGAACACACTGCAAAAGATGAGAACTTTTTTCCTGTCTGAGACCCAACTTTATTATAATGTGAGAGGTAGCACTGAGGAAGGTGATCAGATCATACCCTTGAGCAACACATTCTATGGATGCCCCTTGCTTCATTAGAATGAGTTCCAGTGTCCCAGGTGGCCAGGGAGACTTCCTGTAGTTTGGCTTTCTTGTTCTTCCCTATAGCTCATGGATAGTCATTTGTCATTTCAGGAGCTCTGCATGCAAATCTAGCATATCTTGCTTCTTGTTCTTTCTGGAAGGTATCTCTTCTCCATTTCTACTCTATTTCTTACTCTCTGTGGGCTGTGTCTGTCAAAGAAGTTTCATCTTTTCTTTGAATTTTTTTTCTGCTTTCCTCTTCTTTTCTCCCCTTTTCAAAATATCCCCCTTGCCTCCACAAACATACACAGGGCCTCTTTTGCTTGTGTCCACATGTGCCTTGTTGTATTTTTGATGTTGCATCATAATTATTCTTCTCCAACTCTCCCATCTTAACTGGGTTATAAATACGTTAGAAGAGGCTATTTTGGTCATCTGTGCTCAACAAAAGAGTATTTGGTTGTGTTAACTAGAGTGTTGAGATAATTTATACTCATGAAATTTGTTTTCATTTTTAAACCTTGAATAGGAAATGTTTCTTCCAGTATTTGGTAGCCTCTGATTAAGAACTTGTGATAATTTTAATTGCCCGAACACATAAACTGAGTAGTTATTATTGACTTTTATTTTATATGATGCTTCATCATAGTATTCCTATAGTTTATCCCTCTGGTATATTTAATTAGTATAAAGGTAAAGAGTGCTATCACTGACTAACT